TCAATTAGTAATGTTATTAAATAATTACAGAAATACTCATGTTAGTGTACACAAATAGAGCTGTAACTTTAAAAATCAAGTTTTAAATTATTAAGCAATTGTCTACCTAAGCCAAAAATTTCTTCCTAAAATCATTCATCTGATACATAAGAAGAAACACCCTGAACAATTTCATTACTTGTAGCATATGTGAGAAAAAGAACTTTTGTTTCATATTTTCTTGTCCTAAATTTCATATTACATAAATATAATACATTGCATTTTAGTATGAAAATAATTAACAGGTTTTTTCATATGAAATTCTTAAAAGTTTAGGGTTGCAACAAGGAATAATTATATGTTTTCATTGTGCGAACTTTAGATGTCATTTCTGCTAATGTTTCTTACATTTAAGGTTTACCTTTTATCAGACTAAGTCAGCAAAATTGATTATTTTGTATTTGCATTTACATCGCTAATTTAAGAAGACTTAGATTTTTGAATTCATTATCTTTTATGCTTTGTTTCCTTTTATTTTAAATTTTTCATGAAATTTTGAAAAATGTTAAAAAGGAAGGAATTTAAATATCTAACCTCCCATTTTCACACATACAACACACATTAAGTTTCATGTACTATGCATATAAATACATTCTGAGGGCAAAACTATCAGTAATTGTGCGCAATGCATTAGAATTTTTATGGCCTATACAGATAGCTCAGCAATTGAGAGAACTTGCTAATCTTTAAAAAAAAAAAAACTTTTATTGAGTTTTGTGGATTTCATATCATGCATTACAATCCTCCCTTATCTCCCTGTCACCTCATGTCTGCCCTTTGCCCTTGCAACCTCTCCCTGCTAAATCAAAACAAATTAAAAAGAGAAAACAAAAAACAAATGAAACAAAGAAACAAAATAAAACAAAAAGAAGATGACTCTTGGTGTGAAAGCAGCTGTCGTGTGGCAGGGGAGACTCAGAGCTGACCTGTAAGAGTTCATTATCATAAGTCCTGGTTCTGCCTCAAAGCCTCTGGCTTCTGCTTCATTCACCACCAATAATTGACTCTCACTATAGCTCCTCATGAATACCATGTTGCTGTCCTGTGTCCTGGATATCTGATGTTTGGGGTCTGAAGGTTCGTCCCCTTCTTTCAGAGGTCCCAGATATAGTTCCAAGAACACACATGGCAGTTCACAAACTTCTGAAATTCCAATTCCAGGGGCTTTGATGTCATGTTTTGGCCTCTGAGGGTACCAGGAACCCACACTATGCACATACATACGTGTAGGAAAACACACATAAAGTAAAAATAGCAATTTAAAGAATTTTGCAATTCATACATGAATATAATTTTAATAACTATTCTTCGAGTATATGTCCACATCTTCTTAATAGTAGCATTAAAATTATAACCAGTTTAAATACATAGACACATAATATTATTGATAAATATTATGCATTATTATAATATTCTGAAAACAACATTTTTGTATTTTTTTTGAAAGTAATTTTATTAAATTATAAAAGATTCCATTTCCGCCCCTCCTCCCAACATCCTCCCATTCCCCCCACTCCTTCTCCTCCTCCCTCTCCATCCCTAAGAGCAGTCAGGGTTTCCTGCCCTGTGGGAAGTTCAAGTTCCTCCCCCCTCCCTCCAGGTCCAGGGAGGTGAGTGTCCAGACAGACTGAATCCCCAAAATCCAGTATATGCAGAGGAAACAAGTCCCAGTGTCATTGTCAATGGCTTTTCAGAAACACTCCGGGCCAGCCACATTCAGAGAATCCAGCCACATTCAGAGAATCTGGTTGGATCGCGTCCTCGTTCAGTCCCAGTCCAACTGGCCTTGGTAAACTCTCATTAGATCAGTCCCCTTGTATCAGTGGGTGATCACATCCCTCGCAGTCCTGATTTTCTTTTTCATTTTCTTCCTCCTTCTGCTCCTCATTTGGACCTTGGGGGGCTCAGTCCGGTGCTCCATCTGTATCGCCATCTATCAACGGATGAAGGTTCCCTCTGGTCTTGCCTTCTTTGCTCATGTTCTCTTTCCTTCTGCTTCTCGTTTGGACCTAGGGAGTTAAGTCCAGTGTTCCAATGTGGGACTCTGTCTCTATCTCCATCCATCGCCAGATGAAGGTTCTGGGACTCTTGTCTATTTCCAATCTCCAGGAGGATAGCTACATGATTTTCATCAGGTTCACCTTCTTATTTAGCTTCTCTAGGATCACGAATAATAGGCTCAAAGACCTTTAATTATGGTTAGAATCCACTTATGAGTGAATACATACCATATTCCTCTTTTTGGGTCTGGCTTACCTCACTCAGTAAAGCGTTTTCTATTTTCATCCATTTGCATGCAAAATTCAAGATGTCATTGTTTTTTACCGCTGAGTAAAACTCTAATGTGTATATGTTCCACACCTGTTTTAACCATTCTTCTATTGAGGGGCACCTAGGTTGTTTCCAGGTTCTGGCTATTACAAATAGTGCAGCTATGAACATAGTTGAACAAATGCTTTTGTAGTATGATAGGACATCTCTTGGGTATATTCCCAAGAGTGGAATTGCTGGATCCTGAGGGAGGTTGACTCCCAGTTTCCTGAGAAATCGCCACACTGATTTCCACAGTGGCTGCACAAGTTTGCATGCCCACCAACAATGGATGAGTGTTCCCCTCACTCCAGATCCTCTCCAGCATAGGCTATCATTGGTGTTTTTGAGTTTGGCTATTCTGACAGGTGTAAGATGATATCTCAAAGTTGTTTTGATTTGCATTTCCCTGATTGCTAAGGAGGTTGAGCATGACCTTAAGTGCCTTTTGGCCATTCGAAGTTCATCTGTTGTGAATTCTCTGTTCAGTTCAGTACACCATTTTTTAATTGGGTTAATTAGATGGTAAGCTTGTGATACTCTGAGACTCCTACTATATCCTTCCGAGTCCTAGGATTATAAGTTGTACCATCATTCAAAACTTTGGAAATGAAATTCTATAAAACATATGTTTGATATATTAGTTAAAATTGAGCTTTTGGTAAATCTGGACTCAGTCAGTAGAGTTATGTCGGAATCCATTTCTGTCCACTGTGGCATCTTCTACTGCTTTTAGAGAGCATTCTTTCTTCAGTAAAATTAAATAGTAGAACTATTATAAGTTTCCATGTCAAGCAGACCTGTGGTAGTTTAAATGGAATTGATGTCCAGAAGATTACAGGGAATGGCACTATTAGAAAGTGTGGCCTTATAGGAGGAAGTGAGTCACTGGGCAGATTTTGAGATCTTCTATGTTCAAAATACTCCCAGTGTCTCAGTTCACTTCCTGTGCAAGAAACAGAAATCCAGCTCCTTCTCCAGCACTATGTCTGCCTGCACACAGTCATGTCCTGCTATAATGACAATAGACGGAATCTCTGAACTGTAAGCCAACCAATTAAATGTTTTTCCTTTATAAGATTTGCCATGGTGTCTTTTTACAGCAATAAAAACCCTTACTAAACAAGGTCCTATATATATATCCTTCATAATATATGATCTTTTAAAAATTAGAGGTATAATTGTCACTATAAAACAAAATATAAACACATGCCATTTTAATATAATTAGAGGATTAAGAAAAAACATGAAACAAACAATATATATTGGCAGTTACTCAGAAAGTAACAGCTTCTTTCTGCTATTATTTCTTTGGTCACAGATGGACAAAATGTTCAGAAAAGCAAACATTGGGACTGCTTTCATGAACATTTATACTCAGCATAAATTTCTTACAGATATGCTTTAAATTGAAAACTGAAAACTCTAGTCCTTCAGTATTAATAATGTTGTTATGATTATGTAGAGTTAGTTGCAAGTTTGAACTAGTCTGCTTGATTGAATGTGATATAGATTAGTAGTGGATTCTTGAGCTATATATAATATCATACATTGAACTTCCACACATTTTTTTAAGACAGCTTAATGTGGTAGTTGCAAACCAAATACCACTGCAAATGTTCTCTTGCATCTGAATATGGAAAGAACTGTTTCTGTAACATTTGGAGCTCTATTGTTTAATGCAATGAGATCCTATCTTTTATCATTTGTCAGGTTAATTGTGTGGAAACCAGAAATAATGCATTCCCTTACCCAATTCAAATCTATCAGATGAATTTCTCATAACATATGTAATACCATTAACATTACGTACAACAGCAAGAATAGATCACACAGTTAAAAACAAGACTCACCATGAGCCCATGAATTATTCTCAGGTTAGACAAGCATTCTCATGGATCTCTGATGGACCTGGAAAAACATCATGGAATTCTCATGACTGTAAACACCTTACCAGAGATCAGGAGGAGCATCAGAACATGTCTGTGTGAACGCTGACAGACAAATAGCAGTACAAGCCTAAAAGAAACTGAAAAGCTGAAAATATCTACTCTTACTCATCAAGTAAGTTTTTTTTTCCCTGTTAAAAAAGGAAGTTAATTTCTGCTTTCAGGTTTTTTTCCCATGTGCCTTCTCCATCTAATAGCTGAGAAAATGCTCATCCATATAAACATATGTACCCAGGTAGCTTTATACGGACTGAGCATATTGTATTTATATATCTAGGAATGTGTGTGTGTGTGTGTAATAGTAAAAAAATATATTAATTTAAAAAGTAAAAAACAAAAACAAAAACAAAAGCCAATGATAGAATATTCAAGTATGCAAAAATATTTCAGAGTTTGAATTTTTCTGCATTTGAAGAACCACATAAGCTGGGCGGTGGTGCTCGTCTTTAATCCCAGCACTCAGGAGGCAGAGGCAGACAGATCTTTGTGAGTTTGTGGCCAGCCTGGTCTACAAGAGCTAGCTCCAGGACAGGCTCCAAAGCTACAGAGAAAGCCTATCTCAAGTTCATGAAACCATCTTGGAATTCTGTGAACACATTTTCACTCCTTGGCCTGTAAGATAAAAAGAGATGAGAGTTCATCTCACTAATGTCGCTGAATAGCTAGTCATACTGTAATAGTTCCACTTTTTTCTTCATTCCCCTTCATTTGATTTCAGGGACTTATTGAAGATGCCAGATAAATGTCATATCCATAGCCCAAGTATTTGCTGTAAAGCTGAGAGTTTTAACTTGTCTCCTTGTATTTTGGTGAGTATGGTTCTTAAGTAGCACAGAAACTCTCCCTGAAAGCCCATTGGTACTGATTGAGTGTTTGCTTTGATTTCTTTCATATATGCATTTTTTCCACAATTCATTCTTCTTTTTAGGCACTTACTGCATGTTAGATATTCTACCAGTATTGGGGGTATTTTTTTTTGCTAGTTAGGGCTCAAAACAACCTATCATTTATGTTACCTTCAATAAGTAAATATTCTGCAGAAAAGAGAGATAAGCACTGCATCCAAGGATTATAGATTGACAGCAAGGCTGCTAAATTTCAGTGTGAGTCTTAACATTATATCATATTGTTATCATAGGCTAATCCTGACAGCTGAGCTATTTCAATGCAAGAAAATCCAATGTATGAAAGGAAAGCCTGAAAAGAGAGATGGTTTTTCTCTTAAGACTTCACACACCTAGGTAGTTAAGGAAATAAAAGCTCTACATGAAATAATTTAAAAGAAACTTTTATCAGCCTCTGACATACTTGCATTTTAATACTGATGAAACAGTTTCCTAGTGTGGTTTTAGATACTTGTGAGAGAAAAGTAATTCAGTGTCAAAATATTTTAAATGGGTTAATAAAGATTACAATTATTTAATGATCTTACAAATACTAAAGTTAATATTTTAATTTCAAAAGTAAAATTGCAGTTAATTGAAGTAATCCATCACTTATTTTAACAGTACAAACTCATTTTCCATTCTTAGTGATAGTTTATTCTTTTTCTTTATTTTTAACAAATTCTTTCCATACTCTGTTCCCAGACTCTTAATCTCTCTTGTTTCTGGGGGAAAAAAAAGAAAGAAAACCTGGAAAAGTTCCATTTACTTGTTGAGAGTAAATTTCAATATACAGAAACTTTTTCTCACTAAGAAGTAAATATTTGATGGTATACAATATCCTTATCTGGCCTTATCTAGGTTGTCTTGATCTTCAGGAGGCATGATAGGGTGCCTGGCTGCTAAGGCTTTATATCAAGGACTAAAAGAAAACACCTATTCTAAAACCTAACTGCTATAAACATCTAATATGCATGTTAATAACTTTTTTTACAGTTAAACAAACTATACCACATATATTCTTGATTCAAGCAATGGTAATTATTGTCTATTTATTGGAATCAAGCAGCCCATAGATGATTGACTAGCCATTTCTTTGAAGGTAATTATTGTCTACTTCATAGGATCTAGAAGTCCATAGATGGTAGTCTTGACATTTCTGTGAAGGTTATTATTATCTGCTTAATAGTTGATAGTATGAGCATTTTTTTGAAGGATGTTTTTACAGGCTAATGGAGGTTGAATAACTTACCCTAACTGCTCAACTGAATGAACAAAAATGTGAGCACAAGCTGAGCATCAGCATTCATCTTGCTTTGCATCTGCATGTGAATGTATTAGCATCTGCTTCAAGTTCCTGCAGCCATGACTTACCTGCCTCAATGGGGCGTATCCTTGAAGCATGAACCAATACGAATCCAATCCCTCTAGTTTGTTACTTTTTTCTTCTGGTCTCATAGAAATGAGCACTTACTGATGCTTCCTTTTTAAAGGTTTGAGAAAATGAATGATCATGGCTGAGCACTTACCAGTGAAGCACAAATACTGCACTGTTCTAAGAAGGAATATGGAGGAACCACAGTAATGCATCAGAATTAAAACTATGTTCTGTTCATTTTTATGTGTTAGCCATCTTTAAAACATATGGAACCCAATGATGAAATACTCTTCTCTAGGCCATCTACAGTCAACCAGAATTTTCAAGTCATTCCTAATATTGCTGAATTTTTATAGAAACAAGCAAACTCTTTGAACAGAATTTGTCCCTTTCCTGATATGATATTTTTAAGAAAAGACAGATAATGATTCAATATTAAATAACAGCAAAATATGTAGCATATAAAATATCTTATTATTGACAGCATAATTAGACTTTAAACCAAAAGTTATTAACCCTTATATACCAGAATCATATGATAAATTTGAGAAACTGTGATTTAAATTTTATTTATTGATTTATTCACTTGTTTATTTATTTAGTGTGTTTGTGCATGTGCATGTGTGTGCATGCATGTGCATATGTGAATTGTACATTTTCACAAGATTGTGTATTTGTTTGTGTGCTTGCCAGAGAACATATACAGATGCCATTGGAGGTCATGGGGTGATCTTGTTTGTTACTCTTACTTTGTACCAACGGGACAGAATTTATCATTGAAACTGGAGACAGAGTAGCATTCAGAAAACCCAGTGATCTTTCTGTATTCATTCCCCACAGTCCTGGGGCTAACACAGTAATGTGGGTGATAAAAATTCAAGCTTGAGCCAGGTGGTTGTGGCACACACCTTTAATCCCAGCACTCAGGAGGCAGAGGCAGGCAGATCTCTGTGAGTTCGAGACCAACCTGGTCTACAACAGCTAATTCCAGGACAGGCTCCAAACTACAGAAAAACCCTGTCTTGGAAAACCATAAAAAAAGAAAGATTCAAGCTTGGATCCATATACTTGTACAGTAAACACTCTTTACCCACTGAGCCACCTCCTCAGTCTCCTAAACTTAAAATATAGGTATCTAAGAAAACACTTGTGTTAAACTTGGGCAAAAAATTAATTAGCTTTGAAAATTTAAGTGCCATATTTGAGAGTGTGAAAGATTGATAAGTTGACTCAGTGGCTACGGACACTGGAGGATAATACATATATCAGCTCAAAAATATCATGAAGATATTTGTAATTATCACATTCTGGATAAGTAACAAAAATTGTCTCCAGTGGAGTGTCAAGGGGTTCATCAACCATAGAAAGAACAGGTTCCAATGCTGGGGAGTAGTTAGTGAACACCAAACAGATGCCATGTTGTGTTTGTGCATGTGTGTTCACTTTTTGTTTGGTTTGGTTTCATTATTTTCTTTTAATTTGCATTTTAATTTTTCGTTTTTGTTTTCTTTCTTTTACTGAGAGAAAAAGAGAGAGAGAACATGAAGATGGGAGAGAAGAGAGGTAGGGAGGGCCTGAGACAATTTGAGACGGGAAAAAAATATAATAAAACCTATTGTATGAGAAAATTTAAAAGAAAATTAAAATGAAAAAGACAATATTATAGCAATATTAAAATAAAAATAAGAAATAAAAAGTCAATATTAAAGCTTTCCTTTAACCTCTATTACCTCATTTCTGGTGGAAGTTTAGCATGGGTCTTGTTAGTAGGCAGGGAATTCAGTTTGACAGTGAGAAAACTGCTTTGGTGTTGTTTAAAAAGTTATATAAATTTTATATTGTCTTTTAACATAATACTCAGCTCATTCTTATCTTAGCAGAAAAATAAATGCCTTATTACTTTTACAAATGTGAAAATGATCCCATAACTGTAAAGCTGTTTTTTAATAGCTTGATACTGCTCATCATTTTTAGCAAATTAGTTAGTCAATAATTACGGAATTAGTCCCTTGTTGACCAATGTGATTTTCTGAAGAAGTAGATAACCAACATTGTATTTTAATCTTCTCAAATTATGATGTTATGCTAGGCAGCAACCATGAGCACCTTCAGAACAAAGCTGATTTCTCCGGGAAGCTTCTAGGTCAGCTTCCATTTGAGAGAAGAAAAGCTTTTGAAAGCTCATGAGAAATAAATTATACTGATCCTAGAACCCTGGAGTAACCCTGCTAGATAGGAGTCACTGCAGATTTTTGGTTACTTCTATTTTAAATGCTTATATTTGACCCTACTCAAAGAAAACTGTTTTTGTTCACTTCCATTTAATTCATTTCAAATATACATAAAGCTTATGTTAAATTTTAAATTTTAAAGTGAATTTAAATCTACCATACAGAGAGATGCAGATATATCTGTGGTAAAGAGCTCTCGAAGCTATTCCAGAAGCCCTGAGTTCTGTTTCAAGAACTCATGTCAATCAGTTCACAACATCCTGTCTTTCTAGGTTCACAGAGTCCAATGCCTTCAGGCATCAACTGGTACTCACATATATGACATATACTTATACAAATATATACAACACATAACTAATAGTATCTTTTGAAATGCTTTTAAACATCTACTCTAGAAATAAAACTGAAAGGTTGAGTGCTTTATACTGCATGTAAATGAAAATCTGGATCAAGGACTGAAACAAACAGTCTTTAAGACAGTTTGTTGTGCAGAAAGTCAACAGCTTCAACATTCATGAACACCGATACGAGAGTTTTATGAAATAGATATATATAATATCATCAACATTTCATGGGACAAGTCAAGGATAAAATCTTTGAGAGATTTCCTCAAAACCTAATACTTAGAAAAGGCTACAGTAGAAAAGATAAACCCATAGGCAGAAACCCAGCTTTCTGAGGCTTTAAAACCTATTCTGTGTGTTTGTGAAATACCAGAGACAAAGTAAGGGAATTATACCATGTAACCCTTATTTAGCTCCTATTACAAGTGATTTCTGATTTTTCTTGTAATAATGTAAACTAGCCAAACTTTTATGTCTTCAACTTCAGAAATTTTATGTGAAATTGCAATTATTAAACTTATCAGAGTACCTAAGCATATTATAGTAATTTATTATTAATAATTAAAATGTCTGGCTATTCTCATGTCTATTCATATTTTCTTTCTACATTCTAAAAGCACTCAAGCAACATAAAGCTAAAGATAGATTTTTAGACAAACAAACAAAATAAAGAAAAATAAAAACAAAAAGATTTTTTTAAAGAAAAAATATAAAGAAATATAAAAGCAAACTCATAGACCTTTGACAAATTATAACCCTGCTAAATGTGGTAAAAATGTAATTTATTGATGGTTGCAAGAAAGAAGATTTGTATAAACATTCTCGTCCTCCTAGACCGAAATAATCACACAGAATTAAACTGTTTGGCCTATTAGCTCAGGCGTCTTATTAGCTAACTCTTATATCCTAAATTAACACATATCCACTAATCTGTGTATCACCCTGAATCTGCTGCCTACCAGTAAATTTCTG